GCCGACTATGTGCAGTTCGGCTTCGAGATTCATGTAGAATCAACAGGCACTGCGAAGAGAGACACAATTTGTTTGTGATCTCCGTGTACGCTCCAAATGACTGCAGTGGCGACTCGGTCAAGGACGAATTCTACCGGGATCTACATCAGCTCTTGACTAATGTTAAAACGTCGGATGTCGTTTTCTTTGCTGGGGATTTTAATGCACAGGTTGGCCGCCTGTTACCGTACGAACGCCACCTTGGTGGACAGCACGCGCTCGATGAGAACCGCTCTGATAACGGAGAAAGCTTTCTCGCATTGTGCGAAGACAACCATCTGTTTCTCTCGAGCACTAACTTCAGGAGTAGGAAGAAGCGTTCCGCAACGTGGCGTCCCCATTCGCCAACACTTCCGTGGTCTCAAATTGATCACATTGCAATTAGCTTCAGATGGCGCGGCAGCGTACTGGACTGCAGGTCATTTTGGTCCACCTTCGTTGACTCAGACCATACAATGGTCTGCGCGAAAATCTATATGTGTTTTGGAGGGTCCCGAAACACGAAGCACCGCAAGATTGATGTAAACAGATTAACTGATTCCTCTGTCCAGGCGAGCTATCAGTCTTCATTGGCATATGCATTCAGTTACAATCCACCGCAAGACATGGAGCAACACTGGACTTGTATACGGAAAACGATGACCATTTCCGAACAGTCATGCGGCGACCTAACTTGACGCCCCTAAGAGGCGTAGATCTCTGCTCGTTCTCTGGAGCAGTTCAAACGCCGCAAAGATATCCCCACGGAATCAGATTGCAACGTGCGGCGCCGTTCTGCCAATCGGATGCTCAAACAAAGCCTACGCAAAGATCGTGAGACATGGTGGTCTGAGCGTGCTTTAGAGATGGAGACCGCTGCCCTCTCTGGCAACATTCGCAGGCTTTTCCAACTCATTCGGTCCACTGGCCTCAGGAAGCCTGGTGTCAGTGAGGTCATTTGTGAGGTGGATGAGTCTCCGATTACCAACCAACAGAGGCGTATGGGCCAAGCACTTTCACTCGCAGTTCAACTGGCCTCCACCATTCATCAAGACATGCGGTACACCTTGTTGTCCACCCTGGCTGGTCCCATTGTATCCACCCAGCGAGGCGGAAGACAGTATCGAGATTCGACGCTTGAAGCGCTTCAAGGCTGCCGCCTCAGACGGACTTCCTCCGAAGCTATTCAAGTATGGCGGTGTGGCGATCAGTAACCAGCTGACCTCGCTGTTCGCAAAAATTTGGCATGAAGAGAAAGTGCCTTCCTCTTGGGGCGAATCAGTTATTGTCCCGATGTTCAAGAAAGGTGCTCGCACTTCATGTGCAAATCATCGCGGGAGCAGTCTTATTTAGGTTGCCTCTAAGCTATTGGCGTCCATCTGCTTCGCAGACTATCCCCAGTACGTGAATCATACTACCGTGAAGAACAAGCTGGTTTCCGTCCTGGCCGCGGATCAAATCTTCACGCACCGCCAGCTTCTCGAACATCGCCACATTTATCACAGGCCCACTATCGTTACATTCCTAGATATACGTGCCGCTTTTGACTCCGTTGATCGACCTGCTTTATGGCGTTGCTTGCTAAAGTACGGGGCGTCAGAGAAACATACCGCCATCTTACGAGCACTTTACCTTCATACATGCGGCAGAGTGAGGGTCTATGGCAAGATTTCCTCGCAATTCGCTGTGAATAGCGGTGTGCGACAGAGCTGCCCTACGTCCCTATTCCTCTTCAACGTCGCAACGAAGAGGTTCTGTCGAATGCCCGAGAAGGTTTCCAACATTTTGGCCTAGAGCTTCTACAGAGTGAGCGCACGACCGACTTAGATTATGCTGATGATATCGCCTTACTTGGTGACGATCCTCAGAGTATTCAACTCATTCTAGATCGTTTGACGGTTGAAGCATCTAAGTATGGCAAGAGCTTCGCCCCATCGAAGTGTAAAATACTGCTCAAGGATTGGCCTTCACCTGCTCCCGTGCTCAACCTCGAAGGTGCACAACTTGAACAGGTAGATAGTTTAGTCTACCTTGAGAGCTGCGTTTCTGCTGACGACACTATCAACAAAGACGTTTCTCTTCGCATCGCTAAAGCTAGATCAGCATTTGTCAATCTGAGGCACTTGTGGCATCGTCGCGACGTCTCATTCTCACTAAAGAGCCGCTTTTACAGCGCATCCGTTCGCTTAGTATTGTTGTATGGGAGCGAGTCCTGGCCGATTCGCGTAAAAGACATGCGTCGTCTTTGTGCGTTCGATAACGGTTGCTTAAGAAGGATCGCTTGTGTTTTGTGGAAACATCGCGTTAATAGTAATGACATTCGACGTCGCATCTTAGGGAGTGCGCGTATTGCATTCAACAAACTGGTTTTGTTGCGCCAGTTAAGATGGCTCGGTCAAGTCCTACGCATGGCACCTGAGTGTCTAGCGCGTCGCGCTCTATTCGCTCGTCAAGGACCTGGCTAGAGGCGACCGCGTGGTGGTCAGCCTTCCACTTGGCGGCAGCACATGAAATCGCTGACATCGTATCTATCCGCTGTTGGATCCGTACGTCTTCCAGGATGGGGACCCAAAGATGAGAAGTGACAAGGGCTTAACACTCTTGAAGACATGGCCCGCAACCGGAAGCATTAAAAGAATTGTATACAGTATTGCATTGATTCATATGTTTAATGCTACAAACATTGAAAATGACAAGAAAGGAGAAAAACGGCGTGGGAAAAACAAACTAAAAATGTTTTACAGAGGAGTAGTAGAGGGAGTTGCATGATATAGGTAGAAATTCGTCACATCTAGACGCACTCAGACATCCGTCACACGCTCGGAAAAGCACTGTACGCGCGTTCCATTCTTCCTGCGGCATATTAGCTGAAGTGTGTTTCTCACCTTCAACTATCATGCCACGATGATTATGACACGATGACGGTCCCATATCCACTGATCTCCATGGTTTTATATTGGCTGTGTGTCTAGTTGATAAACTGCTGAGATGACTACTACTACTACTACTAGATCGGCCATGGAGGTGAATCTATTCTGTCAAAAGGGAAAGGTTACTTAATCACGATCGAGTACTAGTGATCATTTGAAAATCGGTCCACTCAACATACTACCATTAACGGAACGCTGCGATAAAAAAGTAAATAACAGTTTGTCAACCACGGAACCCCGGAAGGACTGGTTCCAGACAAAGGGCTGTAAGTTGCCAGTGCTTTTTAACAGGCATCCACTACCAAGGTGACAGTGGATGACGGTAAAGTTTGTGTGGATCTCCCGGTCCTTCACTGGCTCCTAGTTATCTTGGAACGCAGGCACATGTTCAATAAATTCGCATCCGACTTGCGGCGCTTGGGTTTTAGTCCCCGGGATATTTGCAGCTTTTCTTTCCGGCTATTCGAGATATGATATGAGGCTTATATGTGAGGAGTTTAACGTATGTCAATCTATACTCTGTCTTGAAAACACCCTATGAAGCGATGTGTAAAGAACAGTCTCCAGGTTGATATTCACAGTAGATGAGCTGGCTGGTGGAGTGAGATAGTGTAGTTGGACCCCAAATGCAGGCTGTAAGATGGAGAACGAGTGTATTTTTTGCTTCAACCCTCACTGCATGGTTCTTCTTTGGACTACTTGCCTTAATGGCCTTCCTTGTCCTCGGTGGAGATAGAAAAAGGGAGGTACTTCACTGTATGGTAAATTTTATGGCGCGTGCCGCCACTTGAAAAACTAAATGAACACACCACCTAGGTTCATAATGAATTTGGATGTGGACGATGTCTAGACAACAGTGAAAGAGTGCTATCTGAGTGTGTGCAGAGTACAGTCCCGCTGGCCCATTCATACTGTCTTATTGTTCGATGTACCTGAAAATACACATTTAAATGGAAATGCGTCGTTGGTAATGGTACTAGTTAGACAGTATACATGAGAGCGATGTGTGAATAAGCTATCCTGTGGCTGAAGGACGTAGTTTTACAACAGAGGAAGTTGTCTGTTTAGACAACGAACATCCACAAAGACCAACGGGCCATGGTTGTAACGACACCACCTATGTGAACGCTGCTGAACCCTGTCCAAGCTATCATCTCCGGACGCCCCCTCTTCCTGCGTTACACGTGTATCTTGGTCGATGAGCATCGTGTGGCAGGAGGAGCCGGTTGGCGTTTTACGGCTCCCATCTGAATTGTCCATTTGTACCGCACTACTTGTTGCGGGTACAGTAGCACTTAATTCTGGTGCACAACACGTGATTGAGAGGACAATCGACAGGATGATGAGATCAGCCAGATGGTTGACGGCGCAGTATTACCGCAAATGCCGTCCAGAATAAAGTACTTAGGAAATAAGCAAGAAAAGTATGAAAAATCAGGTAGTGGAGGATAAGGGTAAATACAGGAGAGTAAGTCAGCCGAATGGATGGGTCATGACAGTCATTCGAGGGTATACGGTAGTCTACTGAGTAGACGACTCGACAATAATTTAAACAACCTGTTTTTCTCCCCAAGATCGCTCCGGTTGGTAAGAACGGCCTTCAAGTACCAGTTTATTCACCAGGAAAGAATAGGGTGATTATATGGCGCATACCAGTGGTACTTACACTGTGCGATTGATCTTTCTACACATTCTTTGTTCTCCTACATTCTATACTTACCAATAAGAGTAACAGATGGTTATGGAACAATCTTATGATCCACCAATGAGATTTGCTTGCGAATTTCTAGGTTAGGGATCCGATTTTAGGGATGTGCATCACCCTGTCCGATTTCCTAAGAGGTCCTGCTCGTAACACATCCGATGCCGTTGGCAACAATGGAGTATTCCATAACGCCGGATGAAGAATGACAGTTTTTAGTTGACCCTCATCTGCAATATCGGCTTAAAAACACAAATTAAGCAGATAAAAGTATGGCTGCAGTCAACATGGTGGAGAATAATCATAGAAAAGCAACGTGGATCGAAAACCGTCAACAACAAGAAACTCACCACCTCCTCCAGGACATCGGGAGTGTTTGCAGCCTCCAATTGCGAAGCAACGTAAGGCGTCACTAAGTGGAAACCAAAAGTATTGACACATTCAAGCAAGAACAGAGACGAATGTGCTGCATTAATCGATAGTAACAAAATGACATCCTATAGAAGCTGGACATTGTACTTACTAAACAAATAATACAGAAATGAAAGCTTGCAACCCCCAGATGATGGCCACCGCACCTGTTGGAGTTGGTTGAAAAGTAGACTTAAAAATTAACGGAAGTAGTAGAAGGCGGGTAGAAGAGGTACTGCAATTTCGCAACTACTAGGTCATAGAAAGAGATCTTGCAGTATAAGTCCAAGTTATAAATCTATAGATATATTCAGTCAGTAAGGGCTCAAGAAGACACAAAATGTCAAGATATTCAAGGAATTGAACATGAAAATGAACAGGTACTGGCCGCCATTAAAAGAAAAGTGTCAGCTGGGAAATAGGCAAAAGCTCGATCATTAAAAGTGGCACGATTGCAGAGCGATGATCCAAACACTACACCCCGTGCATAACAGAAAACAATCGTGGCTCTGGAAAAGAACAGATAACCGAGATCACAATTCGAAATTCGTAACTGGTACGCGACGAACGAGGTTAGGTAAAAGGAACCCCCTCATTAGGTTCAATGAGCCTTTACTACTTTGGGTGCTGTTAACAAGCTGCGACCTGCAATCCGAAAGCAACCAGGAGAACGAGAAGAACGAACACCATTAAAGACGTAAGGTTTTATGGCGCGATACACAGAAGAGCAACTCACAATCAATGGACTCCGCAGGAGGCAATTCCCCAGATTTCAAATTCTCGGAAAGTGGCTTATAATTTCGGAAAAAAGGTTTAGGTAAATCATCGCCGTTATCATCCAGATCATTGCGTTGTTGGTCCTTACATTTCCGCAAATTCAACAAGCGTTGCCTTCGTTGCAACGCCTTCGCGCGCAATAGGCCAACAGTCTCATCCTTAGCCTTTGCAGCAGGTTCTATAGCTTTAAACTGTTGTTCATCAGCAGAATCTTCTGCGTCCATCACGGTCATCGCATGGAGGCTAAAAACGAGAGATAACAGGACTCAATGATACACGAACAGGCGAAGCTAGGACCAGACCCACGTAGTCAATAGAAAATGTCGATGCGTTGCTAGGAGTAGTTGAAAGGTAAATGGAAACCGTCACACGCGAGATCAACCGAATAATTCGCGGCAGAACACGGTGACGTTTAAGGAGAGCAAAATAGTCCATAAACAGTAGAGTGGCAAGCACCAACCGCAACACAAAGTAAGATAAAACAACTGGTGTACATGCAGATAAAAAGGCACTTTGAGCTCATTACAATTCTGAATTCTGATGCGATTTCAGAAAAAGCACCCGTTTATGCAAAGAGGATAATAACAGTCATGGAGCCAACCGGGGCTAGAGGCGAGTGAATGACAGGATTTGAAATTTATCAATAGAGAATTCACAAAGGAATCCCGATAAAATACAAAGTCATCGCCCTCCTCCTCAAGATGTAAGTGAAAGAAACGAATAAAAATAGCGAGTATTCTTCGAAGAACAAGCTGCCTGGGTTTAAAGTAGGCAACAGTTAAAAGTCGAAAGTTATGCCAGTAGTGAGAGCGAGGTGAATATCGAATAAACGGATGTGCATCCTGTAGCGAAAAGGGTCCAGATAGTTTTTCCCTAAGTAGTGAGAACAATCAGATAGTAGCAACTGCACGTTGAAAAGCGAAATGAGCAAAGAGAAAATGTGCATCGGATTGAGGAGGAGGATAATAGTGATAAGCCATCGGACCGCATGCAATAGTACGTAAACCTAATGTGCGGAGCGATCAGTATTTAAGACAGAAACTAAGTTGCAGTAACTAAAACGAATTACAGTGTGAACTATCATAAGGTGGGAATAAAATCGCAAGATTACCAATATAAGGATTGTATGGGGAAACCATAAACAAATCCGAGAGTACTTCACCCATAGCCGAAGCTACGTTGAGTTGCCATAAACCAAAAGAATGTTCAGATGAAATCAATAATAACGATAACAATTTAGATACTCTGCTTTTCGAGGAATGATCGACTTTTTGCAATTGTTTTCTACAATATTTTCAGGAGGGAAGAGATATGGTGCTTTTAACATCCAAGGTTATCCAGTTCAAAGCTTTGAATGGGCAACAAATAATGTCCTGAGAGAGAGCTGCGTGTCTGGAAGGAACCAAGTTTTCTCTTCCTTGGGTAAATGATGGAGAGTAATTGTTTAGTGATAAGAGAAATATTAAGGCTAAAATCATACTTAATAAACGTTAAATCAGATTTCTATACATTGTAGGGTTTTGAGAGAGTAAAGACGTAGTTATCAATTTTTAGTTCAACAGTTGTACTTATGGGCCGAGACAGATAGAATGGAAGTTTTTTCTGTTATGTTTGAGACGGACGTGGTTAGTATTCGTCTACTGGCTCAGGAGTTTTGGTCTGGCTGCACGCTAGGTGTAAGCGAGTAAAAGGAGAAATGAAAGCGAAATATTGGAAATAGGGATGAAGATGTCGGCTTCACCTTGCTGCCTGACATGTTTACGTGAGAGCAACCAGGGAAACATTGACGAGTAGGAGAAAATCGAATGGCAAAAGTGCATGAAGATGGATAGATGCAGTCAGCGTTCACGTATCAGCTCACACTTTTGTTATGGCTGTAAGGTAAGCGTGGCTAAGTAACGGAATAGGAAGGGTGGAGATAAAAAATGGTAATCTCAATCTCAGGTTGCAATTCCTCTGTAATCCACAGTTACCGGAGTGTCTGTGAGATATGCTTCCCCGAGTGAAAAAAAAGAAAGTAGGGTAGAGAGGAGGGAAGGGGTTCTGTCAACCTTCCGTCTTCCTTTCAAAACACCTCTTCAGGAGCGTTTGGCTAAGTAAATATATTGTATGTAGTGCATTTTCTGTATAGTTGTGAGCACTGCACCTACCTCTCTGCTCCCATCACAAATAGCATCTTTCATCACAATTTAATTACAACATTGTTTTTACATATTGCACCATCTGGTAGTTTGAAATCGCTCTCTTAAACACTGGTTGCGATTCGTGTGCCCGTATTTCAATAGGAAGTTTGTTTCAGATCGCAGATGCATTACGATATAAACGATAGAGAACAGGGTGGACAGTGAAATAAGTTTCAAAAACGAAAAGTGCACCTAAAGTGCCAACTCGACACTGAAAGTAGCGCAGAGAATAATTCGTTCCCAAATCATGAAACGTGTCCAGCGAAAGAAACCTAACTGTGTTGATGCAATTAACAAGCAGAAGAAGAAGGCATGCGTTGCCTGAAAACCAAGGGCTCAGGGGAGGATGATAGTCTACTTGTAGGGAGACTTGGTTAATAAAAGGCGATGCAGCGCTTTCCACGTCCGCACAATGAAAACACGAAGACAGTGGGTGACAAATATGGCTACTCATTGAAGAACTGTTGTGGGTAGGTGGATGGTATCGTGGTTATTATCGCCGTCGGCGGACGTATTTCTTTCTTTTCATTAAAGACCAATTGCCTAGAGATACCACACTCATTATCTGCGGGTTGGGCAGAATTAAAAAACGAGTAACTAAATAAGCGCAAAAGAATCATCCGGCGTTGAGTGAAACTTGCATCACTAAGTGGTGCAAGTGTCACGGAAACGAATCATCTCCGGATATCTTGGAACCTTTTCGTAAGCAGTAGAGCGTGTGCAAAAATAGCGCCGAACCAATGAAACATTACATTCACAATGTATCAGAAACATCCTTGATTCGAATAAAAACCGCCCAATAAGACGGTACAGAAAATTAGTGACTTTAGTTCGAACATGGCCAACAATTATTAGTTCGTCATCCTGTGCATCCGCATCCGCCATGAGAACTGTCGATTAAGTGGCGCAAGCTTAAATTCAAGCTGTCGACAAATATTGTTGCATACTCGGCTGATAAGTCAACCCGGTTAAACAATCACGACTCAAAAGCCGAAAAGTGACTAAATCAACTGTCACAACTTGCACTGTGTGGATACAAAATATTTAAAGGATAATCGAGAGGTTGTAATAAAAAGGTATCAGCTATAAGGGATAAGTGGCAAAAAAGCTGGCGGAAAATTACACACTAGCAGGTAGATGGCCGAGTGCACTAAGTCAAAAACCAGTAAACCAGTCGATTCAGAGAACGATGATCAGAAAGGTGAAAAAAGCAGCTCGACCAATACTTCGTGTCAAATATATCAGCGTCGTTTCTCATGCCCCAATTCTTCCATAAAAATTTGGGAGGAATAAACCGAATTCGAACGTGTGGTTAAACTGTTGAAATGGAAAAAGACCATCCTGTCGCCCTTATAAAATTAGAGGACCATATCTAGTGGATGAGTTGCACAATTTAGTAATGAGGATGTGGGAGCAGGAGACTGTCCTAACCGAATTCAGCCACTCCCTTGTGTTTCCAATTTTCAAGGAAGGCTCAAGTTCGAAATGCAGTAATCAAAGAGGAATCAGTCTCATCACAAGTGACTCTAAGTTGCTTGTGCCTGTCGCATGCCACAACATGGGTGGTGCCCGAGAGTCATATGCGCGAGTAGCGAACCGGAATTTGTTGAAAACGAAGGAGTATTTACATCTTCATCTTACGTCAGTCGTAGGAACACCGCCATATTTAGTAGCGACTCCTCGTAGTTGTGTTTCTAGACGTTAAAGTTGCCTTCGATTCGGTGGATCAATGTGCACTTTGAGACACTATGCTCAGGAAAGGTGTGCCCGATAATTATGTGAATATTATCCGTGTCCGACGCGCACAGTTTGAACAGAGTAGAACAACGACGCAATCTTCATCCCGCAATTGGCAGGCGCAACTCGTCTTCAATTGATTCACTAGACTATCGGTCGAATGTAGCAGCATGCTACAAATACTGTGCATGATTAGCGACATCCGGTTCCGGATTTGGCTGTTACTGCAGCCTCCGTGGGGGAAGACACTGGACCCGTGCGCCTACAGTGGGACCGTGGGTGGCTTGAGCTGCAACATATACAGCCCTGTCCACACACCCCTTATGCAGTGTAAACCCGAAGGAATAAGACTGGGAGGCATGTGGAAGGGATCCACGTTTCCTCAACGGAGCCGGCCTGTATTCCTTCAACATGCACAACAGAAGCATGTATGCCTAATTGGGGAATCATGCGTACCAGACGTACACAAGCCGGTGGCTGGGCAGTTGCCAGCTCCAAAGTAGATGCATGGAACCATTCTTTGAGCCTAACACAGTCACGAGAATCATGCAACCCGTCCCCTCCATCAACGACTAACTGTCTCCTGGAGCCAGTATAGCCGAGGTGAAGGGTAACAGACGGGTAGGCACCTTGTCAATATTCACATAAAGCGCTGCCACACAGATGATATCAATCAACAGCAAAAACCCAAAATGCAAGGAAGTTAACACGCAGGCACACGCATAGACAAAGTGGAACGACGATGCGGCACACGTCATAATCATCGTCAATACACGTTAGCTGATGGTGCGAAACACAACTCATGTAAGGTGCCACAATACAAAAAGATGATACTAGAAATTTACACAACAAAAAATTCAAAAAGCAAGCAATGTAATGTTAAATATTATATTGTGCATTTCGTATTATATCGGAATTTGAGGGGGAAGCTAAAGGGGAGGGAGCTTGACAAAGAAACTCACAACAAACGCCATTGGGGCTGGCTCCTAGCCATATCAGCAAGTGTGTCCAACCAAACATGTTCATCGTTCTTAGGACCCCAGTCAGGCAGTCGGGATGCACCAACCGACGCCAACTTCGAAGTGAGGGTTTTCATTTCTCTCGACTAAGTCATCACTTGGCCTCCTCTCCTCCTCTTCCAACCGCACCCCGGCACTCAAACAATGCACGTCGCGGGAGTCGGTGTGCTGGCATGCACAAAACGTGGCCCAGCCATCGGAGCCTGGTGCGTGATATAATGGTGCTAAGCGGTTCACTTGCTATTCCTGCACCAAATACGCGACGTCGAACACGCTCATTGCTCACGCTGTGTT